AAAAAATGGAACACTAACGCAAGACCGCAAGACTCTTGCATACTCGGTCTTGGTCTTGCGTAAGTCTTGCAATGCTAAGTCTTGTTCTTGCATAAGTCTTGCACTGCTCGGTCTTGGTCTTGGTCTTGCAATCTAATAAGTGGTCTTGATCTTGGTCTTGGTCTTGCTTTTTCTGCAAGACCAAGACCAAGACCAGTCTCGCTCATCACTACGTCTACACTACAGGAAGTAAAATATATTTATTTCTCTTGGTACCTATTGTAAGAATTTATGCAATGTAAATAAATCCTATTATTTAAAAACCAAGTAGGCACCACTGAAAGGAAGGTTCAGAGAAAGCAGGCAATAAAAAAAAGTTATTTCGTCTTTCCTAAATTTTGTGAGTGACTTAACACTATTACAGAAGAAAAACTTGTTTCTAAAAAGGCGCGAAATTATTGGGTGCCAGACCCTGTTTTGGGTCTTTTTACGGTATTTTTAGGACTGTTTATTTCAATTTTTAGGAATTACTTATAAAATTTGGGGGAAGCAAATGGCCCTCTGCCCCCCCCCCCCCCCGGCTACGCCAGTGCTCGTCATCATCATAGGCGATCAGTCCACTCGATACCGAGTATAACTATTCTTATTGTTGTCGTTTGTGCGTTTTCTGATATAGCAACCAATTCCGGAGCCGCACGCAGTAGCTGGTATCGATGCGGCACTTTGTCATATTTTTTTTTTAGAACTCTGTAGCGTTTTGTTGACCTCCTTCATTTTGTTTGCCTGTAGAGAAACTGCCGTCGAAGACATGTTTAGGGCGTGCAGGCGAGGTGATCTTCCCAGCGAAGTTGGTGCTTAATGATGAGGGCTTCCATGCTGGTTGTCTTCGCCTCCTTTCAAACGCTAATGTTCGTCGGTCGTGCCATTTAATCCATAGGATCCTTAGGCATCGCTAGTCATATTTTTCAAGGCTTTTTATGTGTCTTCTGTAGGTGGTCCATGTTTCGCAGCCATATGTAACAACCCAAACTCCCCTAGTCATTTATAGTTATATTTGGGGCTTGGGGATTAGTATTCGGTGCGGGTTGGTGCAAGATCTGCGTCTTGTTGAAGCTGACCTCGAGGCCGATTCTCCTGTATGCCTGGTTGAATGCAATGATAATTGCCTGAAGATCTTCCTCTGTATTGGCCATCACGACGTTATCATCCGCATATTGAAGTTCAATTATCGATATCGTCGATATTTTCGTCTTGACTCGTAATCTGTTTAGGTTGAATAAGCCGTCAGGATTTCTACTCCTGACGGCAGGTGACCCTCGACAAGGTGGAGTATGGATCCTATAAATAGGGAAAATACAGTGGGTGCAATAACACAGCCATGTGTAAGGCCTGTAGTTATTTGAAAAAACTCTCCTTGTCATCATTGCTTAGGACGTTTGCATTCATATTATCATAAAGCAGGCGGAGTATCTGGATGTACTTTTGTAGACACCCAACCTTTGCCAATATCTTCCAAATAGCTTCGCTGTTGACCGAATCAAATGCTTTCACTAAATCTATGAACGCCGATTTTGTTCCCTGGATTTCTCTTGCATTTGCCTTGCCCTGAAAATCATGTCAGCTGTACCTCGGTTGGGTCTAAAGCCACACTGTGTCTCTGGAAGGTTCTCTTCGGCAGTTGGCAACTCGTTATGCTTAACCATACCCATCGATTATCGATACGCCACTGCTGAAGAGGAACTCCTTAGCTTAGCTAAATATCCACAAAAATCTGTTCTTACAGAATACAGTAAGGTTTATTAACACAAAAAAACCTGGAACTTACATGATTTAAGATAGTTCTTAATTTTTGTTCTTAATTCTTAATCTTTAAAAATTGACTTTTTAGGAATTAAGATTAAGGGACAAATATTAAGAATTAAGCAATTGGGTAACTTCGGCCTAAGTTTAATAGGTATAATTTAGATTGGTGAAAAATATAGAAGCTGCCTAGGCGATGGATTCTTGTCTTATACCTACGACTCGTCTCTGAATTTCTTTCGAAAAAATCAATCCGAGACATGAAGTTGTAGAGTGCTTCCGATTTCTATCGAGCAGTGAATTTATATTGCTTTTCGAATGCTTAAATAAATAAATAACCAATGTAGGTGTATAAACATTTCTGTCCAATTTTGTTTTCAAAATAAAATTTACGCCAGACTAAAACAACAATCAGTTCAATATCCGTTCTTCATTCGTAATTGTATTTTGGCCGAAATGCAATCGCTACATGAATGAAGGAATAAGGGTTTCCATTTATAAATTTATTTCACACAGATTGTATTTGTATTTTTGTTTTGTAAAAAGTCATTCATAGGTAGCATGCTAATTTTGGAACAGAATAATAAACTGAATCTGATGTTTTTTTATGTCGGAATTTGTTATCTTTTGATGCATATCTTTCTAGAACAGTTTGAAGTTGTCATTATCGTTTCAAACAAGTATTAATGCGCATACCAACGTTTCTACCAGCAGGAATAGAATGTACTAATGGTAACATCCCATTGTTGCGAAAATCTGAGCAGTTGAAACCTTGCAATTTTGCATGATTGAGGCAGATCAGGAATAGAAACTAACCAGGCCAATGCCGAGAGGGCCTGATAGACGATTTCCGAAAGGAGTTAGTAGAAAGTTACCGCAAATACAAAACTAAGGAAAGTATACGGAACTCCAAAAGATTGAGCGAAAAGGCTACCAATAAACCTGCACAGTGCAAGACCCTCATAGAAGTTAGAAATAGCCAGATCAAAAAATCCAACAGCTGACCACTCTACGAGACAACTGTATGTTAAGAGAAGAGTTGAAACCACCATGTCACCATTGCATGGACTAAAAACGACTGCGCCCGACATTAAAGTGCTCAACAAAACCAAAAATAGCGTATCTTTTTTGGCGTCATTTCCATTGGAGCATGTGGGAAAAGTATACGAACCTACAAAATGGCCAGCCGGAACATGCGTCGCTAGATATCGCTTTCCGAGAACCAACAATGGGAGTGAAAGAGGAAATTTTCCCAATTGTGCCTTTCAACAGCCGAATCAACAAAATCCTCTGACAAAGCGATTAATATTGTTGATAAACCTATTATTTGTCATCTAAATGTGAGAAGCTTAAAGGGGGTGTGCGCCAAAAATTAAAGTTTTAGTCTAAAAAAATCTAAGAATAACTGTTCAAACCTAGTTATTCTACGATGAACCATCGCTGAGATATACCGCTTCAAAGTGTGTGTGACGTCACGAGAGCTTCGCCGCGCTCCGCATTGTTAATTTGATTGTTTCTGGTACGCGTGAGTGGTTTTTGTTTAAATTATTGCAGGTGACACAGGAAAAACATATGTAAATTCAATCTACTTCACTTTCTCGTGCGTCGCTTGAGCTTTCGTGACGTCATAGGGTGAGATGCGGTACCTTCATAGAGCCATATCTTCGATATTATTTGTCATAGAGGGGTGCAGTTTTCACTGTTGTTCTTAGATTTTCTTTCTCTTTTCTTTGAGATGAACTTGTTTTTTTGGCGCACACCCCCTTTAAAGAAAAAAACTCTGTAACTAAAAAACTTACTCGACTCTGTCGACGCGCAGTCTGCGTGTCAAAAACTTGGTGTAATTCGAAGGGATCAGAAGAAAATTATAAAGACTTCTTAGATATTCTAGAGCAGAAATGAATACCCGGAGGACTATTACAATCGCGAGGAGGAGAATAATCAACCAGAAAACTAGTTTCAACCAATGAAATTCACTCTGACTGGTTTGTGATTTCTGTGCGAACAGGCCTTAAAGCCGGGAACACACCTTCAACAGGGTATGTCACGTTACGAGCTGGCGCGTGCAGTACTAAAAGTGAGGTCAATTTTACGTGTCTTTTTATGGATCTCGATCATACACGCTACACGGTACGGTGTGGCCAACACTGTACGCTGACTTTACATAACACGCCTGTCTCCGCTTGTCGTTTATTTATAAAAATCCACACTTTTCTCACACGCATGCTGGGTATGCAAGCAATTTTGTTCAAAATTGTGTGTTTGTATACTTTGTTTTTACATACTAATTTGAGTGTTTCAATGACGCGCTTCTAGTGGGTGCATACTCTATCTTTTTGGTTTAGAAGATCGACAAAAGTGGCACTGAATGCTAAATTTCTGAGAACATTCATGTGGGTTTGTCAACAGAAAGTTAACATGTTGATATGGCCCTCTGCGGTAACTCCTAAAGGAAATACTTGCATCTCCGCGCTTAGAAGCTTTAATTGCATGACCAAAACTTCGACTAGAACCAACTAATTTAATTGTCAAAGGAAAACTTTAGGTAATCAATTTATTGCGACAAGCTGAGTGAACAGCTTGATTTTAAATTACGTATTTATGTTTCAACTGTTACTACAAACAAAAAAAAATTATTATTTCGTAATTTGTGGTCTTTACATTAGAAGTTGACGGTATCATAATAATTATGAGCAGTGAGCAGTGTGTTTTATGGACTTTGAGAGTGCATCGATTATTGAAAAAAAAAAATAAAACAAATTAGCGCAAGTTTCTAGGTGAATAAAGAAATTCAAAACTTTAAGAGGCTTCTTCTCAAGTGGGACAAGTTCAAACGTAAAGGCGGGTTTGGATCTAATCCAACATTAAGCAGCGGTTCGATGCTGCTTAGATGAGAATCGGACTTAATACTTCTCTGTTTCTGTTTCTCAAACCAGTGACGCTTGATTCTTTCGAAGTACATGAGGCATAAATATATTGGTTCACTTTGAAAATTGTAAGCTCTATTGTACCTAACTCATAAATGTTTTCTCTGTAATATATATTCGTGTAATACTTTTTTTCTCAGTTCCACCTGAATTGAAGGGCTGTGGGTCTTGTATTGACTGACAGTTACTAGCCAGACGCCCCATTTCATTATCAGCTGAGATCCGAGTGTGAAAGCTTTAGGAATATCATTGCTTTTTATAATAGTTAGAGACTTAAAAATTATCAACACTTACCTTCCTACGGCCACAGCAGAGCATGTTGCGCGTGCGTGACCGACCGGAAGAGAGTTTTGAGCGCGCAAGTTTCCGCCACTGCATACCAAACTAACTCCCGGATATTCTGGTCGAATAACTGAAACAATAAATTTAAATTTGTTATTCTTAATTAATTAATTGACTTTGCTACACACATAGTATTCTCAAGATTTCGTACCGTAACAAATTTATTTCATTACGCAACTGTCTGTTTACGCAGTCAATTCAATGATGAAATCACGATGAGTTCAGAATAACAATAGCAGTTGCAACTTTAAAGGAAGAAGAAGGAAAAGAAACGCAGCGCAGGAAACGTAAATGGCGTTTTTCTGTTCACTTTATAAAGTCTTCAATAATAAAAGAAGATAGGGATTAGTGATATCATCAATTGACACAAAAACATATATGCAATTCTGACCTATATTGTAACAAGCATTTGAATATGCTCGTTCCAATCATGCAAATACTTAATTCAATTTCGCTTGAGCTGATGTACCAACTGTTTTCAATTTTGCGTTATTTTAAAGGAGTGTTAGATTTTGAGGATGGGTTTCAAACGTGCTCGGGGCACGTTTGTCGATCAGTTGTTCGGACTTGAAGATAGTTTTGAGGGACTTCTCTCTGCCTTACTTGGGCTAGGAAGTTAATATGTTCCAGCAAAGCCACACCTCTAGAATCGACTGCTTAACCTTAATTTTGTAAATCCTCGTCCTTGTTTTAAATTTCCGCTTTGAAAAAGTATATTTTCATGTTTTTTTTTTATTTAAGTGAAAAACTAGAAATGATCGGCCTTTTCAGCTGCCAGAACTTAACAAGATCGAATGATCAGCTTCCTCAGCCGGGTCACCGTCAATTTGTAGCAAATCAATCTGTCGTAGGTACGTCAATTCGTCGTATACGTCAATTCGTCGTATACGTCAATTCGTCGTATATATGGCAATTCGTCGTATATGGCAATTCGTCGTGAAGTCAATTCGCCGTATACGTCAATTTGTCGTGAAGTAACGTCGACTAGCTCGTATTGGGGTAAATTGGGTCAAACATACCTATCGGTATAAAAGCAACTGAATCTTATGCATATCACTGGTAATTCATGTGGTAGCCAACGTATTGATAGTTTGCAATTTTAATCAGACATTATCAAACTTATCGATAATACCTCGGTTAGTTTGAGTTAGTTTACAATGTAATGTCTGAATAAAATTGCAAACTAACTGGGTTAATATCGGTGAGTTTGGTAATATCTGATTAAATTACCGTCAATTCGTCGTAAATCGTTTATTTGAAACAACCTACTTTACTGAATACAAAAAGTGATTAATTGTATTAAAAACAATGTTTAACAATATAACACTTCAAATAATTTGCAATGCTGTGAAGATATGTTAGAGGGTCCATGGTTTCGAAATTATCCACAACATTCCTAATTCTCAAGTACTTATAATCTGAGTATTTTTGCTTCTAATGTATTAAACCAATGAGGCAGGTTCACTGCTTATAAGACTTCACTTACTCGTAGTTATTGCGCAGCAACTAACTTGGGTGCAAGAATTGAGACTATTTTAATTTATTTCGGCCTCCTTTAGGCCTGGTACCCAATAATAACAACATCACATAAAAGAATCCACGACCATTGCCTCCAAAACCCTTTCAATCTGAGCAGCCGTACCGTAGGGCAAGCCAAGAAATTATTAAAATCACTTTATCTAAACTATCATCATTTCAATATGGAACCGCGTAGATTTAATAGGCCTGTCAATGTTTCAGAACTGTCAATTCTCAGCTCAGCGTATCTACTGATGGATTTTTGCAATCACATTTTCCATTGCTTATTTCTTCCTAGCGGTGTTACAACGACTGTACATCCTGTCCACTGTCTGATGTTTCGCAGCCAAGACATCTGTTTCCTTCCGATTCCTTTTTTGCCCTCAATCTTGCTTTCAATCATCAGCTGCAAGAATTGATATTTCTCGCTTCACATGACCTGTCCTAGATATACCTACCGTTTTTCTCTTCCTTATTGGATATTTGAACCAGTTCGCGTTTTTTGTTGACACGTCTCAAAAATTTCTCATTTATCAGTTTTGCCGTCTAAGGTATCTTGAGGATTTTGCGATATATCGCCACATCTCGGAAGCCGCCAATTTATTAATTGCATTTGTTTTCAATGTTCAACTTTCCATATCGTGAAGAAGCGCCGACCAAACGTAGCCCTTTACAAGCCTCAGTCTTGAGTTGAGAATAAAATCAGAATAGGTAAGCACCCTTCTGAATTTGAGGAATGCCGGCCGGTCCAGTGCAATGCGACATTCCTTCCTTGTCCGATGTCCACTCTTAAAAAATCCAAAAATGCCCAGGTATTTAAATTTGTTCGCTTTTTCTATAATGATTGCGTCGAATGCTATGCTGTAGTCTTCAAATAAATTCTGGTATTAATATTTAAACATATCTAGTTACTTTGATCTCCTACCATATCAACCACTTTTTATAGGCCGTTTATAATATTGGCGAATAATAAGATATTGTTAATCCATACTCCATTAACTTTGATTCTCATTTCCATGTCTTCAAAAGCCTCTTGAATGTTTTCGAGTATAAATTGAATGAGAGTGGAGACAACACAAATCCCTGTCGAACTTCTCTTCAAACTTCTATGGTGTTGGACATATTATTATTGCCTAAGTAGTTTTATATCTGGACATTGGTGCCAATATAGGTGTTCAATACATCGGATAGCTGACGGATGGTCTCTATCTTTTTGCGGAGCTGCATTAATTTAGGGTTTTGTACTAGGTCGAATGTTTTTTTGTAATCTACAGGCACACGTCCAGTCGCGAGCAGACCCACCCCTGCAGACCCCGCAGTCCGGGAGGCCCCGGCCATGAGAGGGGCTAATCTCTGCTCAAACCCAAATTAGGAGTCACTCATGCCGCTTTCCCACTATCCCACTTTTTATATAGGTATCTTTTTATGAATGATTTTGAGGAATATTTTTAGTATATGATCTTTGCATTTTGTAGCTTTGGGCTTCCTAGGCATAAAGGGGATACATGTAGAGCAAAGGTAATGATTGTTTGGGGTAGTCTCATATACATATAGGGTGTCTCACGACGGTTTACTTAGGTGATAACTTCGGAACGCGTAATCCAATGTAATTGAAATTTTGAGGATCCGGGTAACTTTTTGTGCCGCTTCTACATGTGTCATTCAATTTCAGCACTTTCGCTTCAGTTACGGTCAAGTAAAGGCAACTTTAGAATCTTAACTGTAACCTATGTATATTATGGCATTTTTCGTTAGATAATTAAATTACAATGCCATATTTGTTAAAGAAAATGATAAAAAATTACGAACTGGAACATTCGATGACGCGTTCCGAAGTTATCACCTGGGGTGAAACCTCGTGGGACACCCTGTATAATGTTGAATATTTTATGTAGTACCTACTGTGATGCCTTTTCCGTCCAGAAGTTTGAGTATTTCTGAAGGAACTTCTACGGATCAGTCATGGCCGTTCTCAGCAACTGTTTTAGGGAAGCCTTATTGATAAGTATTCCTCATAAAATGTCTTCCATGGAGAAATATCAGTTTAAGGAGTACTTATGTGGTTAAGGTTTCTCCAAAATAGTTGGTGGAAATGGCCATCAGTCAGTTATTCATGTCAATTCGAGATCTATCATAGTCGAAAACGTATTCATGGTTTTCTCTTTGCTATCGAGACCTATCTGCTTGCTCTTACTGACTGTTATAATAATTGGTCCCATTTTTGGAGGTGTGCCAAGGTATGAATCTTTATACACGAACCGTAAAATTGGATCACTATATCGTAGCTATCAATATACTGAGAACAGTGATGCAGGATCTTATAAATGAAATGTTATAACCTGGTATTGCGATTGAAAAACCAAAGTTACCAATATTCTGAAATTCAGCGGAAGTATCCGTGAAAACTCGCAATAAAGCAGTATTGTACTTTGATCATCTGTCAGCTGTGATGCAGTCTTACTATTTGCTGTTGTCACGGTAAGAAATGGAATAATTCAACTTGGATAATAGCAATATTTTCTATTTTTTTCTAAAATGGTTTGCAGTTGTTTGCAAACCACAACAAGTCCATTAAACAATTTTCTCCAAAGAAAAATCGACAAAATGAACATTTTCCAAATATGTCCTTAAGACTTGAGTGTTTAGACTAGGCTCATCACTTCCAGATCGTCAAAATGTAAATAGCAGACATTTAGATTAGGTATTTATAATGACTGAGTGTAGGTAACTATCAATAGTAAGTCCTGGAGAGGGTTGTTACCTAAAAAATTGACATTTGCAAACTCAATCCTTTAAAATGGCAGAATGTCCTTTATTAGACAGGCCATAGAAATTGTGATTCGGCCACCTTGCGTCTTTGTTCGAGAGATTGCAATGAATCGGTGATAGTTGAATTATCGATCATTTTTATTGCTCTTTTCCGTACTGCTTCTGATAGAGCCAACGAACGCTTGGGAGCATTGCTCCAGATGTGGGAACAGTATTCCATAAATGGTCTGTTTAGCCTTATAAAGGAGAAGAACTGAAAAAGCTTTTTGCATGAAACAGAAAACCTTATTTTCGAGAAGCGGTTTTTGGGGCTCGAAGATACATGGCCATGCCAAGACAAGTTGGTCGATGCGGTCACCCCAAGAAGATATACTGAGGGATTGATAGAAAGGTTTTGTCCCGACATCCCTAAAGCTGGGTTATCATCGGAAGATTCCTTATTTGAGAATACTGTTGCTTGAGTTTGAGAAGCATTGAATTTGATTAGGTTTGTTAAGGCCCCAGTTGGTAATTTTGTTAAGATCACCGTTGATAGAGTGAATCTGTTCTTGGGCCAGGCGTGTGGAAGTGACTGCAGTAAGCGGTTTGTCAAAAACAAAGATGCCATCAAGGCACTATCATCCTCAAAGGAGTATATGGGGTTTCTTGTCACATTTAATAAATTTAATAATTTATTTATTGGGGACAGAAATGAGCGTTGGGGAACGCCGGCATTTATAGGCAGTGTATCAGAAGACACACCATCGACCACAACATACAGTGCCTTGCCTTCCAAAAAGCTCC